GAGGAAGACAGGAGTTCCTAGAATCCTCAGGAGAAGACCATGCCCACACAGAGGCCTCATTGGCTGTGACCCAATTGATGGCTTGACTCATGGTTATAAAACTATCGCACTCTGGGAACTGCTGGAATGATTTCACACCTCCTGTGCATTTCAAAGAAGAGGAGATCTACATATGATCTTCTGTATGACAAAATATTAGCGCAAGGGCCATGACTATCCAATGTTTCCCTTGACCAGGCCTTATGCTGCAAGTCTGGGAGACTCACTGCTGTCCCACGCCATGGAAGGCGGCAGGCTTCTTCTGCAAAGACCAGTCCCTGGGACTCAAGGTCTACCTGCCCCAGCCTTGACTTCCACTCGACCTGGCCAGAAGGAATCTTAGAATGGCACATCACGTTCAGTGGTGGTCATAGGTAAACTGCAGCTGGTCACCTGGACCAGGCACTGGAGACCTTTCCTGTGTTGCACACCCTCCTGCCCCACATCTGCAGGCTCATCATGTGACTCAGTCATTTCTGTGAAGACAGTTCACGCATAGTGTGTTCAGACCCAAGATTGAGCTCTTTCTCACCAATCCTTATATTGGAAGAAGGAAGGCCCTCTTGAGTGGGGAGGCCTCACATCTACTCCTGTCTTTACCTGAAATCACATCAATCACTGTGTTAGTCCAGGTAGACTAGAGAAACAAATCCAAAGACACTCATATGTATATAGGAAAGAGCTTTACATAAGGAGTAATTGTACATTAAGAAAACATCCCAGCCCAGTCCAGATCAAGTCCATAAGTTCGATATTAGCCCATATGTCCAATACCAGTCCGGAAATTCATCTTCAGACTCACACAACACATGCAATGACGCCAAGTGCAGGAAGATCACAGGACAGTGGTTGGATAGTCTTGTGGATCCAGTGACAGTGGAAGCATCTCAGCACTGGCATGGGTCTCCACATGGCTCCTTCAGCTCCAAGGTTCTGGCTGCCATCAGCCTAGCTCCATGTGGTTTGTTAACAGGAATGTCTCGCAGGGAGTGAGTGTGTGTCCTGCCTCCAGCGAGCTATTTATCTCCTTAGCACCTCCAAATGAGGTCATCCGGCTTCAACCTGATTGACAGACTGAACTCTGCCCCTTCACTCTTAATAGTCTCAAGTTGGCACCAGATTGTGTAATGACCACAATCACCTCCACAGACTTCCTGATATACCCAGCACGACACACAGATGCTGCTGCAGGCTCTGTCCCTAAGGCAGGAGCTCTCAACCCCATTGCCCATTGCCAACTCAGGAACCACAGGTGCCTGGGCCCCATGCCCAAGTATTCTGTTTTCATTGGTCTGAGGAATAGTGTGGACATCGGAATAGTCGGTGTCTAGGTAATTCTCCAGTCATGGTTGAATACCTCTGCTCTAAGCCAGGGATTGGCAAGAGTTTTCTATCAAGGGCCAGAAGTGTTTATTTTATACCATATGCACCATACAATCCTTCATAGCTACTCACTTCTACCAAGCGAGTGCCAAAGCACCCCAGACGCGGTGTAAACATGTGAGTAGGTCTGTGCTCCAGTCAGGCTTCACGAGAACACCAGGCCACAGGCTGGATACTGCTGTGGCTGAGCACACCCGTATCTAAACCATGGTGATAGTCTGGCTGCTTTAGAGAAACAATCCACAGAAACTCGTGTATAAGAAAGAGTTTTATAGAAAGGGTAAGTGCACATCAAGAAAACATCCCAACTCAGTGCTGCCCACAAGTCCAACATTCACCCATATGTCCCACACCAGTCCACAAAGTCCTCCTCCATCTCACAAAACACACACTATGATGCCGACTGCAGGAGGAAAGCCAAATCAGTGAACATATAAGCATCTCAGCACTGGCAGGGGTCTCC